TTATGGTTTACGGTTTAGGGGTTTGGGGTTTACGGTAATTGCGGTTTAGGGTTTAGATTTAGGGCCTCAAAAGGTAGGATGTAGGTAGGTGGGGTAATCCCAAATCCCGGTATACGGGGCCCTTGGTCCTACCTACCTCCCACCCTTTGAGCCTCCAGCCGCTGCCTCGCGGTTTGGGGCTTAAGGGGTTTCGGGTTTAGGGGGATGTGGCGATTAAATGGTTCTCTATAAGGTTTCGGGTTTTGAAGAGTTGAGGCTTTAGGTTGCTATGTGGATCCTGGATACTATAGCGGTTACCACATGGTTTGGGGTTTTATCTCTAGGTTTAGGGTTTTGCAGCGTGGAGGGTTTAGGGTTGCTTTAACGGTGCTATCTGGATACTCCAAGAGCATCATAGGGACTACTGTAAAGGCCACCGGACGGGCTAGTATGGGGTATGGGGGCTTGGAGTTTAAGGCTTTAGCAGATACATTAGACTGCCGTGACCATAACCTACTTTTGTGTAGGCTATTATTTTAAAACCCTACTATGGAATGTATAGGGGCCCTACGAATAAACAAAAGGTTGTGGCAGGGTAAGGTAGGGTTTAGGGTTTATTCGTTGAGGGCTCCACCGCGTTTGCTCTGCAAGGGCGGAGGTTTAGGGTTTAGGGTTTGGGTGTAAGGGCCCAGCATGGGTAGTTCAAGGGTATTCCTACGGGTGGCAACATCGAGTATAAGCATCGGCTTACGTCTCACAGGGGTTATCTGGCTTTTTAAAAGAAGTCGTTGGTATTGCTACGGGATACATAGGTTTCGGCCTCATCCCTAAACCGTAAACTTCTATAAACCCAAAACCTCGAACCCTAAACTTCTAAACCCTAAAACCTCAAACCCTAAACTTCTCTTTCTGGATGTTTGGCAGACGGAAAAGGGTCGTCCAAAAAAAACTTCTAAACCCTAAAACCTCAAACCCTAAACTGTCTGTGTATTACGTAAGGGCCCTTGTTCGAAGCACGAGAGACCAGGCATGAGCTCTTCGTCATCAGCCAGGGCTCCTTCGACCTCTATCCCAATCTCAGGCCTCTAAGGGCTCCTTTAAGGGATCTGTAGGGGATTTTTAAGGGATCTATAATGGTTCTTTTAAGGGTTTAGGGCTTCGGATAGAGGGTTTGGGGTGTGGGATAGAATCGAAGCTTGAATAAAGTTCCACTGCACTATTCGCTCGGATTCCCTAGTAGGAGGATGCTAGCACATACCCCCTTCTCAGTATTAAGGTCCTTTTCTGAGGGGTCTAGACTATCTAGACGGATAGTTATTGTAGAATGTCCCGATGTTTTTTCTGGTGAGCCGCCAGCATGGGTCAACTCCAAACGACATCCCTGCACCCTAGCATGGTCGGTGTAAGTAAATCCCATGATTTCGATGGCAGAGGCTCTAAGTGATTGAGGCGGGTGTGGGCTTCAGAAGAGTGGAGGGTTTGGGTTTGGGCTTTGTGGGTACTTGGGGGTTCATGGGTAGTTATAAGTGGGGTTATAAGTAGGATAACTATAAGTGTAACCCATATCAGGGGACTTATAACTCCACTTATAACTACCCATGAACCTCCAAGTATGCTTGAAGATCAGTGCGGTTTACGGTTCAGCGTGTAGGCGCGGATGCGCGATGGGTCGCAAGTAGCCTTTACTGTGGCTCCAAGCAAGTCTGACTGTAGTCGCTTGACTTGCCAAGGTACAATCAGCACCCATGTTCCCCAAACCCTAAACCCTAAACCCTGATAGTTAGAACCTCAAATGGCAGGATCCTCATCTCCGGGCCCGGAACCCAACAAGGGACCTTCAACGCAACATTCCCCCCTTCCCCCCTCGCCCCTGAATAATAAGCCAAGCCGGTGAACCCAAAGCAACACAAGCATGAGCCCTCAACTGACGAAGCAGCCACCCCTAAGCAAGAAGCCCTAAACCCCAAACCTCGAAACCCTACACCGTAGCCCCAAGGACATCAACCCCTAATTTAATCCCTACACCTGAACCCCCAAAGGCGCCTCACAAAACCCCTAAACCACCGAAGCTTTCAATGTGGGAACCTTAACTTTCGAGCTGAAACCTTGGCTTTTGCACCAGGATGCAGGGCAAGGCTAAGGTGAAGTCTGCCGAGGTGCATCTTGCAAGCTTAGCTTTGTAGGCTTGTGTAGGGTTCAGGGTTTGGGGTTGCAAGGTTAGCGTTGTATGCCATGCGGCCAATGATAACTAGAATATACTGCAGTTAAAATAAGGAACCACCAAAATAGTACAAGGTCAGCTTTGTCCTTATTACAGATAGTATAATACCCACCAAAACCTTGTTTCAATTGTTCAGATGCCTATATATCCTATATTAGGGCCTTGAATAGGGATGAGAAGTCGGTTCCCTCAAAGTAGGGGTTCGTTAAAGGGACTACTATAAGTATGCGTTAAAGACTGGAAGTTCTTGGGGTTAAGGGGCTCCAGGTACTATATAAAGGGTCCTAAACCGGATTTCTGCAAGGGTTATTATACAGTTATTCGGCTGTTCGAGATCCTATTAAGGTCGCGGTGGGGGGGCTTCAATGACTAGAGATGGGTTCCTTCCAAGGCTCCTATAAGAGGTCTTTCGGTCTTTCAGTCAGAGTGCTCTAGAGGTTTATTAGCACATATGCATGCATGTATGTATAATACGCATATATACATATACATATACATATACATATACATATACATATACATATACATATACATATACATATACATATACATATACAGACAGACAGACAGACAGACAGACAGATAGACATACATGCATACATTCATACAAGTGTATGTGTATATGTTCTCTATGTTCATGTATGTATATGTGCATATATGTACACAGAAACAGATGTACAGCACATACATATGTAAATATCTACATACACAGGTATGTATGTATACATACACATGCGAATATACAAACACGCATACAGACAGACATACATACATACATACATGCATATACAAATACACACACACACACATATATATATATATATATGCCTCTATGTATGTACGCACACACATCCTCGACCCTAAACCGAAAGGGGTGTGTTTTGGTTTGTTGCTTGTTTGCATGAAGTCGTACGAATCGCACATATCTCGTGGCCCTCAGTTGCATCATACAGGAGCCTTTGCCATTGACATAGGTACCTTTGAAGGATTCTATACGATTCGTGGTGCGTTGCGAAGTTGAATAGGATTTTGTTGTATAGTATAGTAGAACTAACATAGGGACTAGCAGGGAATATTGTGTTACTAGCCATTCCGACGCCTGGCTTAAACCTACACTTCCCACGGCACATGCTCCAGCAGCAGCCGGGAATCGGACCTTTTAGAGACTGCTGTCTCTCAACGCTATAAGCCATGACCGGATGATTTAGGGTTTAGGTACCATCGTCGGTGCGAAGAGACACGAGTGTCTGCAGGCAGTCTACACGAGCACTTCCATGACGGAGCGCCTTGACCAGAAGTGGCTGTTGAGGATTGAATTCAGCTTTAACGTCCCGGCTCGTTTCTCGATGTCCCAAGCCTTACCGGCAGTGCTAGCACTGAATGGAGCGCGACTTCTCTTGCGGTAACACCTCTTAGTAGATGTGGGGCCCTCTGCGTCTGTCAGCATCTGAGTTTCCCCCCTTTCGTTGTTGCCGGTTAGAGATTCTGGCACGTCAGAGCCCTAGTCTTGGCAGAAGTTGTAATTTTCGTAGTAAGCAGTAGTGGCAGCGGCAGTGGCACTAGCACTAGAGCTAGCGCTAGCGCTAGCAGTAGCAGTAGCAGTAGTAGTAGTCGTCGTCGTAGTAGTAGTAGTAGTAGATATTTGTGGAAGTAGAGATCGGAGTAGTAGTAGTAGTAGTAGTAGTAGTAGTCGTTGTCGTAGCAGCAGTAGTAGTAGTAGTAGTTGTTGTTGTTGTTGCTGCAGTAACAATTGTGTGTGTGTGTGTAGTCAGCTAGCGTGTTGAGGTCGTCGTCGTCGTCGTGTTGCGACATTGCGATCAGCGGCAGTCCTATGGGTTTGTTGTTGTTGTCGTTGGTGGTGGTGGTGGTGGTGGTAAATTTAAATCGGCCAGTATACTGTGACGGATCGACCACCGAGGCGCTTGGTGCGCAAACAGCAGTCTCTCCGTCGTGATTTTCAAGAAGCTTCGGCTTTGTCCCGGTGTGCAATGTGCGTAATTTGTGTGTTTATATATACACTATATTATATTATGTTGTATTATATATATATATATATATATACATATTATATTATATTATACACATATACATACATATGAAATTAGTTCATCATCCGTCTGTAGGCATGTGCGTATATATTAGTGTATATACATATAGGTTTCAATACATATATACATACACACATCCATCCATACATACATACAGATGATCCGCAGTATCGTGTTCTAAAATAAAGCTGCGCCTCTCCGTAACAAATCACAAGCGCGTCTGTTGTTAGCACTAGACCTGAACCTCTCTGTGAACGTGTAGTGTGGTCGAAAGCTCGATTCCAGTCAGTAAGGCTGCGACTTTTACCCCAAAGCTTTCTTCACTTGCTGCCTTATGGTCTGAGAATCAGTCAGTGATTTGGCAGGGTCCAGGTGACAGAAGAAGAAGAAGGGTTTAAGTTAGAGAGCCTTGGTGAGTGTATCATGCGCTCCGTCGGAATGTCAGTGAGTGTATGTTTGGGGTTTCCTCTAGTCACAGAAAGCCCTTAAGATTCATTTACTGCATGCTTGGACCCACATACTATGCACTATACACACTTTGCATGTGCTCCTAGTCGTAGGAACGAGATCGGGACATTTAAGGGGTTGCCCAGGTGGAACTACCAGCTGGCTGTGGCCGAACCTTTCTTGCAACTGCATGATTGCGATTACGGTGGCCGTTTCTTCAGGCACGTCTGCAGAGTCAGTACAAGACACATGCAGGTTTCTCTAATCGTTTCTGTGCTTGTTCCCATCTTTGCACTGCTGCCATCATGACGGAGAGACTGGGTGCCATGGCCATCGCCGCGGCCGGCGCTTACGCCATGACCTCCGGGTTTGTGGTGAGCCAGCCGGCCGCACAGCAGCCAAGCGAGCTGCGCCTGAGGGGTGCGCAGGCGCAGCCCAACTCCAGCGCAGGCTTCAGCTCCACCGTGCTCAACTTGGCTGGCGCTGGCACCGTGGTGGCCGGCTTGGCCGTGAGCCAGCGCAAGCGCACAGCCCTCCGTGCTGAGAAGTTCGCAGGTGGCCTGGTGGGCAGCGCCGGCGGCTTCGGCGAGTACCAGTTCGACCCCATCGGCTTGGCGGAGCGCTACCCCACTTTGCTCCCTTGGTTCCGTGAGGCCGAGCTCAAGCACGGTCGTGTGGCGATGCTTGCCTTCCTCGGTCTCATCGTCCCCGATGCTTTCCGCTTGCCGATTGATGGCGCCTCGGACTTGTCCATCGATGTCATCAATGCGCACAACAAGCTCATTGGTCCCGGTCTCGGCGAGGGGCTGATGTGGAACCTGATGGTGGTCGTCGGCGCCATCGAGTCGGTCCGCTTCAAGCAGATCCTTAGGGGTACTTAGAAATAATTTTGAATTTTTGGTTATTATAATCCCTAAGAAACAGCTAAAATCATAGTTGTTGCTAGGGTTCTAAGTTCAGTATAGGATCGGCCTCGGCTTTGAGAACCTGACGCTCGAGAACGCCGGAGATCTCGGCTTGCGCGGATTGGCACCGGGCACCGAGGAGGGCATGAAGCTGGTGCCTTAGACCCCCAATACCTATAAGCTTTAAGCTTTTGGGGCTTCTTATATTTTAGTTTTGACCTTTTATTTCGGTGGCTTATTGGGGTAGTAAATACCTAACCTTCAAACTGTTTGGGCTCTCGTATTTTAGTTTTAACCCTTTATTTCTGTGGCTTATTGGGGTAGTAAGGTGCGCACCCAGGAGCTTAAGAACGGACGTCTGGCGATGCTCGCCGTGGGTGGCTGCCTCACGCAGGCCGTGGCCTTCGATGTCCACCACTTCCCCTTCTTGAAGCCTAGTATGGATACACTTTACACTTTTTGAAGATAGGGGACACAAATATAGTACCCTAAATAGTACTTAGTACCTGAGTGCATACACTTTACATTTGTTTGGATAATATTACCCACTCTAAAACTGAAAGTGTACACTTTTTGGGGCTCAGGAACTCAGCAACTAAGGAAGTGAGATGAGCCCAGCGCTGGAGTTCCTGCAGACTTTTTGAGATTTCGCGCCCATAGGCTATCCTTTGAACGTTCCTTGTTCTGACATGGAGGAGCCGGGCCTTAAAAGCATTGCTGCCGAAGTGTTTCTCGCTGGTGCATGTGAATGCAGCACAGTTCCGTATGTCGTGTTGCATGTATCGCTGAGGCGATTTCGCCTTCGCTTGACCAACTCACCCGTACAGCCCCAGCGTCTCGAGCTTGGTCCCACGCCAGGTTCCTTCTTGGCTTGCTCGGACCGGTAACTTGGCAAAAAAGTTCAGACGTCAAACACTATGAGCATGACCGCCATCACTACCACAGTGAGGATCATGCGGGCGATGCTGGTGAGGTTGGTCTCTCTGAGCGTTTCCGAAAATCAGGGGTACCTTGTCTTGGGATCCTTAGCATAAGGATCCCTCCTACTATTTAGGGTACTATATTAAAGATGACCTATTTGCGGAAACTCCCATAAGACAAACACCATGACGATGATAATTATCGCGTCTGCCTCGTCATCATTCGCATAGGCACTTGTTGTTTGCAGTCATCGGTGTGCATCTCGTGAGCGTTTCTTGTGCTAAGGACAAGAATCATGTCAAAGCAAGTGCCATTCCATCATTAATACTATTGCCGTTTTCATCCACTCTTTAATTTATGATTGTCAGGATTGTCTCAGTTTTTTTTGTATATTCTTAGTCTTAGTATTTCTCAGGGGTCGAGAGTAATTATGGGACCGCCTTGATCGTGTATGTGTTGCTGTTGAAGCACATTGAGGTCGCATGAGTTCTGTCCTTTCTGGGTGAATTGGATGAGTGTTCACTGCCCGAACAACCAGGACTGTTCTTTTTCTTTTGCAGGTGAACACGTACTTGTGTGACCGTGGTTTTAAGTTTTGGTGTGACGATGCTCTCTCGGAGCCACTGTGCTGCATTTCCCCAGAGCCCTAACACCCCCAAACACCAAACCCTAAACCGCTCCTCCCCAAATGGGAGTTTCTGAAAGTAGGGGACCCTAATATAGTACCCTAATAAGTAGGATCCTTATTATAAGGCCCCCCAAAATGAGGTACCCCTAATTTTCGGAAACTCCCAAATAGCAAAGCCGAAACCCAAAACTCTAAACTACTACCTTAAGGACCCTAAACTATGGGAATTATGGTATATTCCTTATTATGGACCCAATAGCAAGTCCTTCTGCCAAGGACAAGCGACCTGAGGGTGCGCCGAATGCTCGGCGATCCATGCTGCCAGCGACGAACCGCTTGAGCGCCGACGGGTGCGGGCACTCAGGGGTTTAGGGGTTTAGGGTTTATACGGTTTATGGGTTTATAGGGTTCTTGGTTTAGGGGTTTAGGCTTACTATATTCGGGTCCCCTCCTTTCGGAAACTCCCAATTAAGGCCCCAGGCATCCGAGCTCAGCTCCCAGAGAAAGGGTTCACCGGTTTTTACGCGTTCAGTGTTTAGGTTTTGCATGTTCAGGTTTGGCGGGGTGGGCGTTGTAGGGTTTACGGTTTATAAGCACTTAGCGGGCTAAGGGTTCAGAGTTTAAAGATTCGAGGTTTAAACTGGTTCAGGTTTTGTCGGGTCCTGGGTTTGAAGGTTTACGGGTTTAGGTGCGTGCACGATTTATGAATAGAGCTTCCAGGCTGGCGACTCCAGAATTCTGTCACCCGTCCAGGAGCAATAATTCCTAAAACCCTAAACCTCCGAACCCCTAAACAGGAAACCCCTCAAACCCTGAATCCTAAACTCAAACCCTTAAAATGAAAGCCCTGCACCAAGCAACCCCAACCCTGCAAAGCCTGGACCGCGAACCCCGAACCACAAACCCTGAGAAAGTTGTCTACTGTAGGAACTTGATTAAGAAATCCCGGGCCTATAACCCCAAAATAGTTGGATTCAAATAGAGAAAGGCCCAAGGTTTCTTAATCAGTTTCGTACATTATAAGTTTCATTAAACCTAATTGTAATGTTATCCTTGGGTTCCTTATTATATAGTGATACAGCGGTCTTTATATAAGCTTAAACCAATAGTGTTCCCTGGGTTCCTTATTCTAGCTATATTGCAAAGGTAGCCCAGACGGCCCAAACCATTTGCGGTTTTTGAGGCCTATATTCTACGCCCGACCTCAAAGCAACCCCTGAACCCTAAACCCTAAAGTGCTATGAGGAAGCCAAACAAGAAGGTAACCCAGAACTAACCCTGAAGCCGTAAAGCAACAACTTTGTCATAGTTGGGTAACATTTTACATTTCTAGGGGTACTTAAACCCAGTAAGGAATACAGATTTACATTCTTAATCCTATCCCAACCATCAACTAGACGAAGCGATGAGGAAGCCCAACAAAAAGCAATGGGCGGCCAACTCGGCTTTCGTTGCAGATCCAAAGAAGGCCCGGCGCTCGGCGATGTCGCTCTTTCTTACATGGACCTCCTTCAACGGCTTAGGGTTCAACTACCATAACCTGCTTGTTTGTAGGGCCCCCTAGAGATTCTAGATTGGGGTTTATGAAAAGAACCTACAAAAATGTAGGTTATGGTAGTTGAAGGCTAGGGGCTTGGTTTACACAACCCTGAATCACCCCACACCAATTTGGCCGTTGGGGGGGGGGGGGTAAAGGGGCTGTGTTTGACTTGGTGTCCGTAGTGCCATGATGACGCGAAACAATATCGTGTTGTGCCGGATAGTTACTGTTTGCTGTGGCGACACAAGTATCTTCCAGTGTTCAAGATTTTAGGGCTTTGGGGTTTATGGTTTTTCTTCAGCCAGGTGCTCCTGCTCATTTTCACGCGACACCCACACAACCCTGGGCAACCTTCCAAGTCAAAGCCTAACCCCAAGCTCCCCAAGCCCTCTGCTCCAAAGCCAAAACAATCCCCAAACCCCTCACACTCTAAACCCGCCAAGCCTCAAACCCGTAATGAATCAACCAACCCCCAAACCCAAACCCCTAAAGCCTACACCTTCAAACCCTGACTCGTAAACCGCTACACCCTGAACAGAAAGCCCCCACCCTCAAACGCCCTGTGAATTTCAAGCCGAAGCCCTAAACCCTGCACCGAAAGCCCCGATCCATCCCCGGCCCTCAGAACTTGAGCTCGCGAACCACACCGCCAGGGCCCAAGCATCGATGTTTTCAAGGCCCCATCAATAGGGCCCAAGAAGCAAAATTAAGGATAGGGATATCCCATATAAACCTCCTTATACTGAAGCCCAAACAAGGTAGGGATATCCCTATCAAATGCTTATGCTTATGTGCTTCTTTGGGTCCCTAACCAAGGGGAATCAACGGGCCCTGTACTGTTTCATGTGCTTTTTGTTGCAAGAGCTCCGTGAGGCTGTGTGCATCGGTTTGCAGCTCTCATAAGGGAAATAGAATGCCGACCATACAACAAAGGCTATACGGGTGCTTGCTCCTACTCCCTGAGAGACCACCACGGCCCACCAGATTGCCAAGAGGAATACCAGGATGCCCAGTAATACCCTTGTTCCCTTCTGGTAGTCCTAGGTTTCTTATAAAGTTGCCCAACACCAAAAAGGGAGCCCTTTCTATTCCTAGGTTACTGGGCCTCCTAGAATACGGCCGATGCAGCTCCTGAGCACGGGTATCGGACTGAAGCTCTGTGTAAACCCGCTTGGAATACCTTAAAAGGAATCTGTTGGCTCCTTTAGAGGCTCTTAAAAGGGGTCTATAAGGGCCCCTTTAAAGGCTCCTAGAAGGGATCTACAGGGTTCAGGCTTTAGGGTTTGGGGGTTTCCGTAAATTAGACTATTAGAGGTACCTTGTTTTGGGATCCTTAGAATAAGGATCTTAGGGTCCCCTATTTTCGGAAGCTCCCATATTGTAGAAGTTTCAACCACTACCAACACTAAGCCCACAGGACAAATCACATTCTACCGCCAAAGCCGGATCCCAAGGTCAAAGAAGGCGAGACGGGGGTCTGAGTCCAGGCCTCAGCATGTGTTAAAACCGGTTGGGGCTACGGTTTTGCAGCATCAGAAACCCTAAACCTTAAACCGGTGAGAGCCTTCCGAAAGCAGCTGGCCGACGTGTTCGTTCTAGTTACCTGAAGCTTCGCGGGTTGTTACAGCTACTCGCAAGTAGGGTGACTCCTGTCAGAGTTGCATGTAACCCAAACTTGAGGTACATATTGTGGGGCATGAAGAGTTAGCGCCAAAACCCCTGATTGTCCATGTAGCTTTAGAGCCCGAAACCCTCTTCGAATGATTAACGCCACGGTGATTCGCAAGTTGAAGGAAGCTGTCAGGCGCTGCAGGGTCGTGAGGCCCTACCTGGAGCCCAAATGACCTACCATTCTAGGGTTCCCTAATATGACTTCCTTGTACAAGTCTTTAAAAATACCTGCATATATACATGCACATACACATGCATGTAAATGTACTTATGCTTATTATACTTACAGCTTTTCATGTGTATATATATACACACATACACATTCCTGTTTGCATGTATGTGTATGCATGCTTGTGTTTGTAACTACATACAAAGTGTGTGTATACATATATATATATATATATATATATATATATATACGTATACACATACTCAAATACACAGATAGTTGAACCGTTTAGCTGTTGACTGAGGGCCGGCTTGACGATGGACTCCTGGGGCTTCGGATTCATGGCCCAGAGCTCAGTTAAAGGAAATTAGGATAGGATGATTTAGGGGCTTAGGGGCTTGGGGGTTTAGGGGTTTAGGGGGTTCGAGATTAGGATAAGATTAGGGGCTTGAGGGTGTAGGGGGTTAAGAATGCGAGGATTAGGCTAGGATAAGGGGCTTGGGGGTTCAGGGATGTCTGAATTAGGGCTTAGGGGTTTGGGGGGTCTAGGGATTTTTGAATTAGGGGTTTGGGGGGTCTAGGGATTTTTGAATTGAGGTTTGGGGGGTCTAGGTATTTTTGAATTAAGGTTTGGGTGGTTTAGGGATTTTTGAATTAAGGATTTGGGGGGGTTTGTTAGGGGTTCGGTTGCTTAGGGAATAGGAATTACAGAGGTTTGCGGATTTTGGGGTTAGGAATTAGGGGTTTGGGGGCTTAGGGAATAGAATTTGTAGGTGTTTGGGGGTTTAGGGATCAGGAATTGGGCGTTTAGGGATCAGGAATTCGGGCTTAGGGGGTTTAGGGATTAGGGGTTCCATGATGGCTAGGGGTTTCGGGGATTTAATTTTGAGAGGTCGCACAAGGGAGGTCAGGTCGCGTTCTCGGGGTTTCGATTTTAGGGGATGTTTTCTTTGGATGCTTTCTTTACTGGGTTTAGGCTTCACGGGGGCATTGTTGTTCTACAGCGTTTCGGGTTTAAAAGTTTCGAGGAAGTTATGATTTCACACGGTCTAGGGTTTAGGTTAAGTTGTGGTCTTTACGGGTTTAAGGTCCAGGGGGGAGTCATGGTGTTTTTGGTAAACTTACCCCACGTGTACTTGAAGGTTTAAGGGACTTATAACTCCTCTTATAACTACCCATGAACCTCCAAGTAGGGTTTAAGGCTTTTGCGTTTGGTCCTTGCTTAGTCCTTAACCAGAGCTCTGAGGCTCGCACCCGGTCGTTGAAGAGCGAGATCGACGAGGACGCTTAAGGGGTTTCTCTGGGTTCCTGCACCTGATCGCTTAAAAGGTTGCCTCGAAGGATTTTAGGGTGTGGTTCTAGGGTATAGGGCTTTCTGCAAGGTTTTATGAGGGTCTTACACAGCTGTAAAAGGGCTTTGGGAGTTCCAGGGCTTTCCCGGGGTGCCGAGGCTGCTTTTCCGAGCATCCAATGGGTTTTGAGTACTTCTTATGGGCTGAGGGGGCTTGGGAACGTCCTGTTGGACCGCATTTCTGCCACCTTCTGACGGGATTTCCGCCGTGCTACCACTGCTGCAAGTTTTGCTTGCAGCATCTCTGCCTCAACTATGCCGGGCTTCGAGAGCGTGCGCTCTCTCCTCTGTGCTCGCCATAGTCATCGTTCTTCGCGATCATGGAGAACTGCTGGCGGGGCTGGGTGGATTCACCTGCTTCCACCTGCAGGACTTCATTTTTTAGACTACGTTTACTCCTGTCTCTGGCGAAGGCGGATAAAGCAAACGCCGCTGCTGCAAGAGCTCGACAAACTTTGCCGTGACAGCTGAGTCCTGTCTCTGCAGCTGCCGCTGTTCCTAATGGCTCGGCAGACGTTGCCGGGACAGCTGACTGGGTCCGCAAGAAACGCACTGTGCTATCACGATGTAGACCATGCTGGTGATGCTCCTAATGGCCGTGATGGCGTTGCCCGTCGTGGTGTTGCTGCTGCCGTTGCTTCGTCCACGTGTGCTCGTCGGGTATCTATATCGTTTAGCAGAACCTGTAGTCGTGTGCGTCCAACACAAAGTTTTCCCTGACTCGCTCCAAAAGATGTGTCTCAACGTGTGGGAAAACGTCGAAACCGTCGAAAAGTACACACAGTCTCAGAGATTCTCACACTCTTCGTCTGAGCTTTGTAAAGCGTTCGCACGCTTTACTACACGTTTCAGCACTTTGCCAAACAAAAATCACAACTCCACAGAACACACGGCGCCCCTCAGAAGCCGCAACCAGGCTTTAGGAGGGTTTGTAAGCAGTTGTATATGAGGGCTTTAGGAGTTCTGACGCTTTCCAGGGTTTGGCGTTTGAGTTGTCTAGGTATTTGGGCTCATAGTGTGGTTTCGGCTTTTAGACAGATTGCCCAACCAAGCTCCAAGTCCTTACTCGGTTGCCTAAGCCAAGTTTAGGGTTTAAGGTTTAGGGTATGAGAAGCTTGCTGCAACCGAAGCCGTTCAGAGTTCAGAGTGCCAGGTTCTTTAGAGACTCAAAGCAGCCCTCGGGGTTTAGGTTTGTGTCCCGAATTTAGCAATATGGGTTGAACCATGAAGAGCTTGAAAATGTGATGTAAGGTATGCCCCTTAATCAAGGACAGTACCAAACCTTCTTCAAGACCCTATAAAGCTTGAGTTTTGAAGCGTCGTAGGTATAAAACAAATTTCTTGAGGTATCGGAGTCTCTGAATAGGGAGTAGGAGAGTCACACAACGGGTCCATCTGGCCAAGACCTGTCCAATGATTACGTACACCCCCAATGCCAACACCCATGTGCCACAATGTAATCCTAACCCTAAGCATTAAATCCCAACCGCTTGAGCCCACAAGTTGTCCAATTGGATTCAGAACCAAACCTAAACTCTAAACGCCTCAGTCCAGACCTGAACTTTTAAACCCTGAACCCAAATCTAAACCCTCTTCCTTAGACCCCACCTGCTTAGTAGCTGAGTAGGTAACCTTTAACCTTTTGGGCCTTCTAGAATCCTACCATAGTTGAAAAGGTTAGCCGTTTTTGGTTTAAAGCCCTGGTGCTTTGGCCCCTTAGGGTTCGGCCCGGGAAGATGCGCCAGGACGACGACGAGAGCTCTCCTTTCCAAGTGGGCGATCAGGCGCGACCCCCAAAATGATCTTCCCAGAGCATCCCAAATACCGATATAGAAGAATGAAGGGTTTCTATATCGGGAAATACTACTATGCTTGGGGGAAGTGTCCCCATGTGGGCTTGCAAGGGTCCTAAACCCTAAACCCTAGCTTCATCCAGCGTTTTTGTGCAGCAGGTCGCTGCCCTCGTCGCAGGATGGGATGCGCAGAAGGACACTGCCTGTTGCTAGTAAAGGGCTTTCGGATGCAATGCAGGATTTACCGTGTCCTTCTGAATTCGAGGCGCAAGCCTTCCTTTCGAAACGTCAGATGTAGGGTTTGGGGATTCGAAAAATAGAGGTCTATTCATTTTTATCCTGTGATTTTTCAAGCTTTGGGGGTTGGGAGTTTTAGGGTTTCAGGGCCTGGTGGTTTGTCTCTAAGCCCGGAGCCTCCAACGTCCAAAACTCACGAACAAGCACGAAATCCATGGCAAAAGCATCAAAACGCGTCAGCGAGATTATCACCTAAACCCTGAAGACCAGAGTAGCCAGTCACCCTTACAGTAACCTTCACAGGAACCCTTATAGAGGAACCCAAAATAAACTTTACAGGACTCCTACACTATAAACAAACTATAGTATCCTTATGCACCCTCTTGAAAGCACCCTGAACCCCGTACACGTAACCCCCCATAGATCCCTCAAAACAAGCTTTTTTTTTTACATTCCTTACGGACCCGAAGAGCATCCCTTGTCGGAACCCTGAGCGACCCTTAAAGACAGCCTCTTATACACCCTTAGGGAGGAGCCCCTATAGAAGAAGCCATGAAAAGGAGCCCCTAAAGACCCCAAAAAAGGAGCTCCTAGAGATCCTGAAAAGGAGTCCCTATATCCAAGGGTAAAAGGAGGGACCCTTACTAGGGACCCCTAGGTATATACCCTGAATATAGCTATTATATACCCTTTATATGGCCCATTATAGGGTAGGGGTCCCCATTCAGGGTCCCTCCGTTTCCCCTTTGGCTATAGACCCTTAAAAGGAGCCTTCAGAGGAGCTCTTTGAAAGAGCTCTAACGACCCCCAACCGAAGGAGCTCGGAACCGGGAGAGTTCTTGAGGTCCAGAGGGGCCCTGTTTTTTTTGTTTACGGCTTCGGACTACTCAAAGGGTGCTAATCATCAGGGTGGCTGTGAGGGTTTAGGGTTTCAGGGTTGCGGGCTTGGGGTTTAGTGTCAGTTTGGCTTAGAGGAACGATCCTGCATCTTTCACGCAACAAGAAACCCATCGGGTTATTAAACGTAGCATATTGCGTCAAAAGGGATTGTATGTCGGACCAGGGGTTTAGGATAGGGTTTTGGGGTTGTGCTGTTCAGGGGACTCGGGGCTGCTGGTGTTTTAGGGCTTTTGAGGTTCTTTGTGTTGTGTAGGCAGTTCTTAGACCCTGAACCCCCGAACCCTGAGCCCGTTGTAGTATCCTTATGGAAACGAGAGAAAATCTGAAAGCAATTCTTCGACCCAAAACCCTGTAACCCGAGACTGATGGTCCCGGTGAAGGCGCCAGTGGGCCTTAGGATCCTTGTTTAGGGATTCAACAAGGACATAACTTGCTGACTTAGTGGGCTTCATTAGAAGGGAGTTTGCATGGACATCCCTATCCTCTCATTTTGCTTATGTGCTTTTTTCGGGCCCTACTTGTTTCACCACTGCTGGTGGAGGCATGGTGAGTGTTCTATGGTTCAGGATGGGTTGATTGAACATTTACCCTTATACCATCATCCTGAAATCCTCAGCCCCTCCATCCCCAAACCCCACAACTCCCACACTGGCCTGAACCAAGTCCATTCCAGACCTGGTAAGCAAACCCTCATGGAGCCCTGGAGCCTGAAGATAAGCCCTGGACAAGGAAACCCACAAGCCTCTTTACCGAACGTAGTAAGAAGCTTACAAACCCTGTACATCGTACACCCCCTCATAAGCCCTCATAAAATCACATTAGAACAGCAAGAAAGCTTATGGAACCCCATAGGGCCGTCATAAAAACCGCGCCCATAAGATTCGGTAAACCCTTCAAAACACTCCATAAGACCTATAGAATCGTATCGAGCCCATGTAAATCCTGCAAGAAGAACCCTTGATAAAAGCCTTCCGGGAACCCTTAAACCCTTATAAAGGCCTTCAGGGAACTCCTACACCCTTACAAAAGCCATCAGTGAACTCCGAAACCCAAAGCTCTAAAGAACTCCCTAAACCCCAAACCCCCAAAACCCTAAAACCCTAAAACCCTAAAACCCTAAAACCCTAAAATTCCTAAAACCCTAAACCCTAAACCCTAAACCCCAAACCCCCAAACCCCCAAAAGCCCTAAACCCCTGAACCCTAAACTTGGGGCAGGTCCTGGAGCCTGGGCGAAGACCTCGGCTACAGCTCTCGGGGCCTGGTGTTGACTTCCTGAGCACCCTTTAAAGGGAGCTCCAGAAATTTGGAATATGGGCTCCTTTAAGGGGATCTATAGGGTGTTAGGGTTTAGGGTTCTGGGTTTAGGGTTGGGTTTAAAGGGAGCTCCAGAAAGTTGGAATATGGTTTCATGGTAGCATACCCTATAATTTACCATAGAAGGGTTAAGATAGTCATATTCCAACTTTCTGGCTTTTACCTTGAACCCAAAACCCTTTCCGCTCCGGGGCCGGGGCCCAAAAGCATGAACCTTTCACAGACCCTTGGGTTCCTTTAAAGAGGGGACTATAAGGGATCTACAAAGGTACTATAGTATAGGGGCCTAAAGAAGTACCTATAATATTTTGGGAGCTACGTATTATAATTATCGTAGGTTACACTCCCAAAAGCGCTATATCTACACACCAGCTCCCCCACCCCTGGGTGCCGTGGAGGCCAGCCGGAGTCTAGTAGTATTGGTAGAAGAGAAGTAACATGTCCAGCCTTGGCGGTGTGAGTAGTATGCGTCGTAGCAGTCGCAGCAGTCGTCGTCGTGGCCGTCGTAGAAGTAGAAGTGGCAGTAGTAGCAGCAGAGGACTACAGCGGGAGCGCTGTATAAGAAAATGCTTTCTGGGACGAGGGTGGTCTGGTTTTCTTATTTTGTTTGCGGCTGGTTTCATGGGAATATTTAAACTGGGATGGGTCAGGGTAGTCTGGTTTTCTTAAGGCCGTTTTCTTATATAGCTGTGTC